CCGGGGAGCCGTCGGGAAGGCTGGGAATGTGGGGAAGTCAGGGTTGGATTACCTCTAGAGGGCTCTGGGTAAACACTGCCGCCGAGCCGAACGTCTCCTCTCTCCCGGATCCCGGCTTGGGCTTCCGGAGCAAAGCCATGCCGGCGTCGCCTCCATTGTGCTCCGCTGTCGGGAGGTTCGGTGATCCTCGGGATGCAAAGCCGGGATGGGGGGGTCTCTGCATCCCGTTCTTCTTCCAGCTCCAGCCTGGGAAGGGGGAAACGCTTTTCCCAGGGAAAACCCTGCGGAGGCAGCTCCGGGCTCGGCCGACAGCGAGTCCTGAGCCGGGGGCTGCGGGGCGGGGATGCGCTGGTCCTGGAGCTCGCAGGATTTGGCCCTTGGGGATATTCCCAGGAGAAGTCATTCCTTTGGGGAGGGGACGGAGGCTGGGCAGGATGGAGAGGGAGCCCCGGTGCCAGGGAACGCAGCCCAGCTCCTGGGATACATCCCCCCCGTGATCCATCACGCCGGGAGGGCCGATTCCCAGTGAGAACTGGAGGAACTGGGATGCTGGAGGGAGGAGGGCAGAGATTGCGGCGGGAAGACGGAGTCGGGGGGAAAACAGGGACCCTCCTGCCCCCCTATTCCCAAGCTGCTCCATGCAGGTTCAGGATTAGTCTTGGATGGAGGGTTCATCCGTGCGGGAGAAAAAAAAAAACACGTTTTGTTCAGATATCGCCGGAAAAAGCACCAAAATCCAACCTGCTCAGGGAATTCCCTGCATTTCAGGGGATTTCTCTTCTCCTCCAGGGATTTTGGAGGAGCCCCGAGTGAGGAACGGAGGGAGAAATTCCCGTTCTCCCGACCATGGAGCCGTGGGTGACGCTGGATCCGCGGCAGAAGGCTCTGTACCGGGACGTGATGCAGGAGAGCTACGAAACGCTGCTGTCCCTCGGTAAGCGATCCCAAAAAATTCCTCCTTCCTTCCGGAAAATCCCTCTCTGTCTGGCAGGGAAGAGGATGGGGAGTGGGGAGGAGGAATCCAGGCAGGTTTTGAGGGGGGTTTCCCCAAATCCCAGCCCTCTCCTTGAATTTTTTGGCAGGAAAATTGTTACCGATCGCTCCGCGTTTATGGTTTCTAAGCGGAAAAGGGGCGCTCAGCGTTTCCACCTTCCCAGTTCAAACTGGGATCAGGTCTCCCGTCGTGTCTCTCTTCCCTCTCCCTGGGTGACCCGTTTTTTTCCAGGAGTCTCCTTCCCATTTTTTTCTGGGAGTCTCCTTCTCAATTTTTTCTGGGAGTCTCGTTCCCATTTTTTTTCCGGGAGTCTCACTCCCATTTTTTTCTGGGAGTCTCAATCCCGTTTTTTTCTGGGAATCTCTCATTTTTTTCCGGGAGTCTCGTTCCCATTTTTTTCTGGGAGTCTGGCTCCCGTTTTTTTCTGGGAGTCTTATTCCCATTTTTTTCCGGGAGTCTCACTCTCATTTTTTTCTGGGAATCTCACTCTCATTTTTTTCCAGGAGTCTCACTCCCATTTTTTTCTGGGAGTCTCGCTCCCGTTTTTTTCCGAGAGTCTCGCTCCCATTTTTTTCCATGAGTCTCACTCCCATTTTTTTCTGGGAGTCTTGTTCCCATTTTTTTCTGGGAGTCTTATTCCCATTTTTTTCTGGGAGTCTCACTCTCATTTTTTTCCGGGAGTCTCGCTCCCATTTTTTTTCCCGAGAGTCTCGTTCCCATTTTTTTCCACGAGTCTCGCTCCGGAACGCCACTCCCTGCTCCAGTGGAGGCCACACTCTCCCCTTTTTCCTGCTTTTCCCGTCTCCCCCAGCAGCACAGGGGCTGGTGAGCGAAAAAGCCGTGGAAGAAGGAGCC